CTTAGGCATCCCCAACTTAAACAAGCCTTTCTCTCTATACATAGCAGAGAAGCAAGGGATAGCTTTAGGGGTCTTAGTCCAACGACTAGGGAATGAGCCTCAACCAGTTGCATATTTCTCAAAAAAACTGGATACTGTAGCAGCTGGGTGGCCTCCGTGTCTAAGAGCAGTTGCAGCCACAGCCATGCTAACCGAGGAAGCTAGTAAACTAACTCTGGGGCAGAAGTTAGAAGTCTTAACTCCACATCAGGTACAAGGGGTGTTAAAAATAAAAGGGCACCTCTGGCTAACAGAAAATAGACTAACCAAATATCAAGCCCTTCTTCTAAACAATCCTGAAGTAACTATAAAGACCTGTAACACCCTAAATCCAGCCTCCTTAATGCCTACAAAATCATCCCCAGATTTAATCCATTCCTGCTCAGACGTTATTAGTCTTACTCAATCAAGCAGGACTAACTTATTAGACCAGCCCTTAAAAAACCCTGATGATAAGTGGTTCACTGATGGGAGCAGCTTTGTACAGAATGGGCAGCAAAAAGCAGGATATGCAGTAGTTAGTTTATATAACACCATTAAGGCACAACCCCTTCCACCCTCAACCTCGGCCCAAAAGGCTAAAATTATAGCCCTCACCCAAGCTCTCATTCTAGGACAAGGAAGAAGGGTCAATATATATACAGACTCCAAATATGCCTTCCTTGTTCTGCATGCTCATGCTGCCATATGGAAAAAAAGAGGGCTCCTCACCGCTAAGAATTCCCCTATTAAACATGGACCAGAAATTTTAAATTTATTGAAGGCAGTTAGGCTCCCTAAGCAAGTGGCAGTTATGCATTGCAAAGGCCACCAAAAGGATATGTCCCATATCTCTCAGGGAAATAGGAGAGCAGACCAAGAAGCAAAGAAAGCAGCGCTAGGGACTAATAGACAAATGGCTTTATTCCCCCCTGTAAATGTCTCAGATATCAAGCCCAACTATACATCTGAGGAAATATCTTGGGCTTTGAAGCAAGGAGGTGTCCATGAAGGACCCTGGATATATATTGGCCAGAGGCTCTTCCTTCCTCAAGCCTCCCAGTGGAAGTTCTTAAAAGCTTTGCATGACTCCTTCCACATTGGGAGGGATGCTACAATGACAATGGTTAACAAATTATTCATAGGTAGGGGAATAGCTACTACCATAAAGAATATTTGCCAGGCTTGTACTCTTTGTGCCTATAACAACCCTGGGCAAAAGCCATCCCTGCCCCCGCTGATAAAACCTATTCAGCGAAGAGGGACTTATCCTGGAGAGAACTGGCAAATTAATTTTACCAAAATGCCTCCTTGTAAAGGATACAAATACTTACTAGTCCTGGTAGATACCTTTACTGAATGGATTAAGGCCTTTCCAACAAGGACAGAGAAGGCCACAGAAGTAGTAAAGGCTCTCTTAAAGGAAATAATACCTAGGTTTGGTCTTCCACGATCCCTACAAAATAATAATGGGCCATCCTTCACTTCTAAAATCACTCAAGCAGTTTCTGAAGCTCTAGGCATAAAATATTATCTTCATTCTGCTTGAAAACCACAGTTCTCTGGAAAGGTAAAACGAGCAAATCAAACTTTAAAAAGGACATTAGCAAAACTTTGTCAAGAGACTTCTAAAAACTGGGCTAAGTTACTGCCTATAGCCCTCATAAGAATTAGGGGCTCCCCTAAGGCCAATACTAAACTCAGTCCATTTAAAATGTTGTACGCCCGGCCCTTTTTAACTCTAGATCTAATATTTGATACAAAAACCCATCAAGCAATTAAGTATATAATAAACTTAGGACAAGTGCAAAAAGCTTCACAGAAATATGGAAATAAAGTTTTACCAGCCCCAAAAGGAAATTTTCAAACTGCCATATCTCCGGGAGACTGGGTACTCCTTAAAACCTGGAGGGAGGGATCACCAGCAAACCAACTCAACCCTAAATAAAAAGGGCCTTACCAGGTAGCCCTGAGTACCCCTATGGCTGTAAAACTCTTAGGGGTCGATAGTTGGGTTCATATTTCCAGGGTAAAACTAGCCCCCACGGATCCCAATCTGACTCAGGACCGGCTGGAAACCCAAAGCCCAGACTATACCTGCAAGCCACTGGAGGACCTCAGGTTCCTGTTCAAAAGGAAAAAGCCCTAAAAAGATAAGTAATAACCAATAACAGTGCACTAAAATCACCATTGTTTTGAATAGTTGCACTTCTTAAAAACTTCCTATTCGTACTGGTCCTCTGCTTCATATAAAGGCTTGCTCACTTCCTTCTGGGTGGAATTGTATCTGGGTGGATTGTCTAAAATGAAAATGTCTTTGATGTTTCTATTAACCATTCTCTACTCGCCTGCACCCTGTGTAACGGAATGGGATAAAAATTTTCTAGTAAATGCTTCTCGAACCTTAGCAGCAGGAAAAAACCTGGCCCAATGTTGGATATGTCATCCTAACCCAAAAACTCCTTCCAGATATAATACTCATATAAAAGCCTACCCAATAGCTAATGAATCCTTAATCAGTGCTTTAAATTCCTCTGCCAATTACACACGTTCCCCTTTTTCTTTAAGAGTCACATGGGAAAAAAATCCTCCTTTGTGTTTCCATATAACCCCACTAAAATTAAAGCCATTTAATTACTCCAGCACCTCTCTTAAGTGCAACAGTACGATGGGATGTACCCCATGTTATAATAATACTCATACAAGGGCCATTGACCCATTTAAAGCCCTGGCTTCTCTTTCAAGTTCCAGCTTTCTAAAAAATCTTTCTGAGGAAAAGATTTTCAAACCTTTAAATTAGTCACATATAGTATGCTACCCAAATTATAATTCTAACTGTATTCCTAATAGTACCCATTGTTGCTTTAACAAAACTCACAATGCAGATACAAACGATACTTCTAAATGTGTTACTTAGAAATTAAACCAATCTCTTCAAGGAGTATTAGCAAAATTTCTACCACCTCCTGCAGGGGGGAAAGATCAAGGAAATAACTTAGGCCCTTTTAAGGACTGCCTTTTCCCCCTTGCCATATGCCCTCCTTAACAAATATAATTCCACTAATGCCACAGTTATTGCAGCACCCCCGGGGCTCGTCTGGCTATGTGGGACTCCCAATAACTGGCTAACGGATCATTCAGAACTTCAAAAAGCTATTGCTTATACTCATCTCAGCAACTCTAAACATGGGGGTGACTGTACCTTAGGGACCTTGGGCCCCCAAGACCTTACTGTTATAAATATAACCATGGGTCCTGGGAGTCCATCTCTTAGCAGAAAAAAACAAGCTTTTGGTCTAGTAGTGGCTGGAGCTGCTGCCACTATAGCCGCTGCAGCCCCCTGGGGAGGCTTCGCCTATCATGAGGCCACTCTAAGGAAACTCACTAAGATTATAAAAAAAATCTCCAAAGATACTGCTGGTACTCTAGCTAAACTCTCAAGATCAGTAGACTCATTGGCAAATGTAGTCATGGATAACCGCCTTGCCCTTGACTATCTTCTAGCAAAACAAGGAGGGGTATGTGCTGTTATCAATAAAACCTGCTGCACCTATGTAAATAACTCTGGAGTGATCAAAACTAACATAAAAAAAATTTATAAACAGGCAGAATGGCTACATAAGTATAATCAACAGGGCCAAGGGATTAAAAAAGCCCTAACCTCCTGGTTCCCTGGCTTAACATGGTTATTACCCTTCTTAGGGCCCTTAATAACACTGCTGGTTTTACTACTTTTAGGACCTTGCTTATTTAATTTACTTGTTAAATTTGTTTCTTCTAGACTTAAGCAGTTCCACGTCAAACTAATGACGCTCCAAGGTTTCCAACCAATCCCTAAAAACGATGTTAAAGCTAACCAACATACAGCATCTGCGGTGGCCTCAGGAATTCCTCTTCAACCCCTAGATAAAATAGGGCAACAGTTCCGTGGTTCTCAATAGGCAGGGTCTACTGTCCAATCTAAGCCTAAAGCAGCTATGGAAGACGGATCTTCATCCTTCAACAACCCCAAAAAGATTTTTGAGAACCATGTCTCTCAGGGGGAAGTTGAGGCAGGAGGTAGTCAGGAAGGAAGCTCCCCAGGCCCCACAGGGCTGAGGTAGAAAACACCTATACATGACAAAGACCCCCTAAGACGGGTTGTTCCTGTTTTCTGGGACAACTCTGAATCATAGAATGCGCCTGCGCACTACCCCTGATTCATTATAATATCATTATAATGAAATAACATTGTGGGACTCCCTTCTCCAGTAGCCAATCAAGAAAGTCATGGGAAACCACGCATGTGCAGTAGCTTTGAAATCCAACTCCTTGTACCTGCGCAGGAAAAGCCCGCCAAAGACTAGCAGGGGGGCTTCTGCCTCTATAAGAATAGAATCCCCCAGCCCACGTGCCCCTTTTTTTTCCTCTGCTCAAAGCTGGCTCACTCCCGTGTCCTGTGGTGTGTACTATCACTTAATAAACCTCCCCTCTTTCTTTATGCTATAAACTTTGTGTGTTCGGTTCAATTCTTTGTCCTCGATCACTAAGAACCTGGTTACCTGTGCACACCTGTGCACACCTGTAACACAAGGACATTCCTTTCAGGTGATGTGGCCCCACCCCTCCTAGGGTGCACTGGCAGCCCTGGTGAGGGTGTTGTTAAGTACCAAGAATCATTCACCTAACACGCCCTCACTCTGCTGGTGTCACCCCTCCATCTGTATCATGTAAGGTTACCCTGCTCAGAAAACCTTTCTCTGACACCTGCTGGGCTCAGGTTGGCCCTGACCCTTCATCAATCACCAAGGGTCACCTCATAACCAAACTGAGGTTATCACTCCAAGCAGCTTCAGAGCACATCTGGCAGTGGTAGCCTTTGGTGTCTATACCCTCCTCCCTGGCATGCCTCCCTCGGTCCCTAGGATCCTAAGGTCTGCCTCTCTTCTGACATCTCCCTCTGCACTTTGAACCCCCATTGCCACTTTAAGTCAAAAAGCAAAACAGATTGACAATTTTATTCAGTGGTAGCAATGCTCCCCAACTTTTTGGCACCAGGGACTGACCAGTTTCATGGAATACAATTTTTCCTCTGATGGGGCAGGGGGAAGGGGTGCCGACAGTGGAAAGACAGGAAGCAGAGCTCAGGCAGTAATGCTAATGTGAGTGAAACTTCACTGGCCCCCTCCCACCTCCTGCTGTGCAGCCTGTTTCATAACAGGCCACCCAGACCAATACAGGTCTGAAGCTGGGGGTTGGGGACCCCTGAGCATAGGACATAGGCCACAGGATGCAAGAAGCCAGGAGGGGCCAATGGGGGGGAGGTGCTAGTGGTGGCTTTTAGCCCAGGCATGTGGTGGTCCTCACCTCAGTTCTGTGGCTGGACTTCTGTACAACTGGGTTTCCACTTCTGAGACCCCTGCCGTATTGAGGGTCTTGAAGGCCACTTGGTACTGCACACCCGTCAGGGACTTTCCACCATGACCAGATCCCCATGCATACCCAGTGCCAGCACAAACAGAATTGAGGGCCAGGGGCTAAGAGATGTTTGGTGTGTCCTTTGCCTGCTGGGCCCCTCACTTTGCAGAAGTAGCTGCCTGGCCCAGAAGCTCCAGGGGCACCAGGAATGGGTTCAGGGGGCAGACCCCAGCTGCTTGCCAGGCAGATCTTGGTTCATCAGGCCTGGCCTTCTCAGGGGCCTGGGGGGTAGCCTGGCTGGTCTTCTCTTGCCCCCTAGGGCCAGTCCCACAGTCCTCAGGCCCTGGTTGCAAGTTCCCACTGCTGGGGTCAGACTGGGGAGCCATCAAGCGTAGGTATGTATCCATCATATGCTCAACCAGGGCTGCACAGGGCAGGTGAGGCAGCTCCTCAGGAAGTGCCATGAGCAGGTCAAGGACCACCGCTGACTCTGGTGATGGATGGAGAGGGAGTGGTAAGAGAATAGGGTTTGCTGCCTTGGACCCCACCCCCACAGCTCCCGTCCCCCATTCTTCTCACCAGCTGCGGAAAGCTCAGGGCCACGGCAGCTGTGGGAGATGGAGGACAAGTACTTGTAGATCTTCTCAAAGTCCACTACAAGGTCTCCCTCAGCAGAGAGGCCAGCTGGGAATTCAGAAGGTGCCTCAGAGGAGGGGCCAGGAGCCTCAGATCTCTGGTCTTCCTGCCCACTAGCGGTGTTGAGGGGCAGCAGTTTCCCACGAGCCTGCGTGGGCTTGGAGGGCTTGGACTGCAGGAGGCTGGTGGGCTCCACAGCTGCGATGGTGAGCACCTGGCAGGCAGAGATCAGGAAGGAAAAGGGAGAAGTCCTCCCTTCAGCCACTCCCCTGCCCTGCAAAATGTGCTGAACCCTCCACCTCCGCCTGCTCACCCAGGGAAGGTGTCCCATATAGGAGATGGCCTCAGAGTGAGAGATACTGAGGCTCAGGATGTCTCCTAACTGGCCAGAGTCACAGAGTTGGTAAGAGGAAGGGCCCAAGACACACCTCCACCTTATTTAGACTCATATATGACCCTGTCCCCAAGGACACCCCTGGCCTGCCTAGGGGATGGCTGTACCTGTGAGAAAGCCACAGTCAGGGTTTCCTCCAGCGGGCCTGTTACCTTCTCTGCCAGATCCATCCACACCTGGGCAGGGCAACCAGAGTACATGGTCAGCCTAGGGATCAACCCTCAGGAGTCCCCCAAGGCTTGCCCCTCCTGAGGATCACCTGACCAGTTGATCCTCCCAACTCCCACCCCATCTTCCAGGAGCTGGCCCTGGGGAGCCTTGCCCTAACTCACCTCGATGGGGGCCGGAATCTGTGCTTCCAGGCGTCTTTGACCCTTTGGGCCACCTGAATGCACCCTCTGAATGGCTTCCCGGGCCACACGGCCCTTGAGCTGCTGGAGGAAATCCCGAATCTGGGGAAGAGAGATGAGGAGGCTGAATGGGTCTTCTACAAACCCACGGCTAGGGCAGAGAAGCCAAAGACCACTGCCTGCTCCAGAGCCGGCCACTGCTCCTTGCTTCCTGCAAGCCTGTCATTAAGGGCCACAGATTGTGCCCAGGGTGTGCGAACAAGGCGCAGATGGCGACCTAATAAAAAGGTAAGGTCCAGGCCCTTCTGACTGCTCCCCGCAGCCAGGGGTCCGTCCCAATGCTAAACACTACCCTATTCACCTCCTCCGCTACGTGCACTCCGCCCCGCCCCATTTCCCCGATTCTTAGCTCTAGTACAGTCCCGCCTAGTCTCGCCGCGCCAAACGCCGCGTACGCCCAGTGCGCCGATTCCCGGCCCCGAGTCCCGGCCCCCGCGTCCCGGCCCCCCGCGTCGCGGCCCGGTCAATTCTACTCCGAGTGCGCCCCGCCCCTAAATTTTGCTTTTGCCCCGCCTCCAGCCTCGCGCTCGACCCTCCCACGCCCTGCTATCTGTACTGCTCTCTGCGCCCACCGTGACACATCTCAGGTCTTCCTCTACCCTCGCTCTTTTCGCGGAACCCCCTCACCTCCGCCTCGCTCCGGCCCGGCAGCTCCCCGGCCAGCTCGGCGGCGTCCGGCTCCGGATGGCCACGCCGCGTTTGCAGTAGTCGGAGCAGCTGCCGCTTCTCGCGGGCGCTCCAGACCGTGGTGCCGGTAACCTCGCCCAGATAGCGCGCCGGGGCAACTCGCCGCCTTTGTGGGGGCTTCATGCCGAAGAGGGCGGACCTGGGTTTCCAGACTCTCTTCCCTGGAGGGCGGAGCTACGGAGGCTGCTGGGGCCATAATACAACAAGCGGAAGCGGAAGCAGACGGGGGCGTAGCTCTGCGACTCGAGGTAGAGGGAGCATCGTGGATGGATTATGGTGGAGGCTCTGATATCCATCCGTATTGGCGAAGACGTACGTGATTCCCCCCGCCCATGTTTTATTTCATTTGTAAACTGGATCCCATACCACAGATCTCGTGTATTTTCATTTCTGGACTACGTCTTGTGAAACTCCAACAGTGAGCTGTGCTTCTGGAAGAGGGGTGGGTCCTGGTAGGAAGGGCAACTGTCCAGTCGGAGCCAAGAGCCTGGGCTCTTGGGGACCTTAAGCAAGTGATTTAGCTGTACCCAACTTCAGTTTCCTCGTTTATAAAATAGAGCCCTGGCTGGTGTGGCTCGGTGTATTGAGTGCTGGCCTGCGAACCAAACGGTCCCCGTTTGGATTCCCAGTCAGGGCACATGCGTGAGTTGCAGGCCAGGTCCCCAGTAGGAGGCGTGTGAGAGGCAAACATTTTGATGTTTCTTTACTTCTCTATCTCCCTCCCTTACCCTCTCTAAAAATGAATTTAAAAATACTTTTTAAAATTTATTTTTAAAAGAGAAATATAAATGCGTGGTTGCCTCTCACATGGCCCCCACTGGGGACATGGCCCACAACCCAGGCATGTGCTCTGACTGAGAATTGAACTGGCGACCCTTTGATTCGCAGCCTGCACTCAATCCAGTGAACTACATGAGCCAGGGCTAAAAAAATATTTTTTTAATTTTTTAAAAGATTTTTATTTATTTATTTTTAGAGAGGGAAGGGAGAGAGAGAGAGAGACATCAATGTGCGGTTGCTGGGGGCCATGGCCTGCAATTCAGGCACGTGCCCTGACTGGGAATGGAACCTGTGATGCTTTGGTTCGCAGCCTGCACTCAATCCACTGAGCTATGCCAGCCAGGGCTAAAAAAATATTTTTAAAAAATAAAGTCATCTCGTTCTTGTCAATGCTCAGGGGAGGAAGGAGCTGGGACAGGAGAGATTTAAGGAGCTTTGTACTAGATGGAGAAGAGGCTGGAGCAGAGGCAGGAGGTGGAGGTCCTAACTAGGGCAGGATTCAGACAGTGGGAGTGGAGAGTGAAAGCCTGGATTTGAGAAACTTGTAACAGGCAGGTGCTCCAGTGCTGGGATGGAGGAAGGAGGCAAGGTTTATTTAAAACAACCTCTGGGCTCTGGCTGGTGTGGCTCAGTGGACTGAGCGCCAGCCTGAGAACTGAAAGGTCTCCCATTCGATTCCTAGTCAGGGCACACGCAGTTTTGGCAGCTCTGGTCTTGTGAGAGGTAACCAATTGATGTTTTCCTCCCTCCCTTCCTGTCTCTCTGAAATTTTTAAAAAACACAGCCCTGGCTGGTGTGGCTCAGTGGATTGAGAGCAGGCCTGTGAGCCAAAGGGCCACCAGGTTGGATTCCCAGTTGGGGCACATGCCTGGGTTGCGGACCAGGTTCCCAGTGGGGTGTACAAGAGACAACCAAACACTGATATTTCTCTCCCTCTCTTTGTCCTTCCCCTCCCTCTGTCTAAAAATAAATAAATAAAAATAAATAAATAAAATATTAAAGAAAAAACACAAAAATTTAACCTCATGGAGTCTGGTACCCCTTTCTGTTTGGGACAGAACCCCCTTGGGTCTTAGCAAAATGGCCTGGGAGCCCCACTGCTCTAGCCTGGACCTCTTGCAGCCGGGAATCCTCCCTGTCCTGATGCCAAGCCTCCACTTCCTGCCCCCCACCCCCAATCCCTGTACACAAGCATACTTCAGAACTCTAGGTCAGACCAGATGTTTATTTTGAGCCTTGGTGGGAGAAGTGAGGAGGGCTGGGCGCAGGGATCTTGGTCTGTGGTTCTGTAGGGTCAGAGGTCTGATCAGAGGAAAGTCTGCCTGATGCAGTGCTTGATCTGGGGGTACGCCATCCAGGTGTTCTAGGGAAGAGGATACTATGCATACTATTCAGACTACCTCCTTCTCAGCTGATCGTTGGCCTCCCCCATCAGTGTACATGCAGGAGTGAGGATGCTAGGTCTGAATCCTGAATTCTTGCCTAGTGTGGTCCTACACAGAGCCTGCAGTCCACCACGGGTGACTGCGTGAGTTCAAATCCCAGCTCCACCAAATTTTGTCACCTTTGATAAATTACTTCAGAGTGCCCATTTTTAATGGGGTCTATAATAGTATCTATCTGAAGGTTCTCATGAGGATTAAACTAATTAATATGTGTGAACTATTAGACACTTGCCAAAAGGCTGAGAAGTGGTATGTGTTAATATTTAGAATGCTGCCTGGAACAGAGAAGTGCTATGAAGTCATTATCATCACCTCCCTCCAGCTCTTTGGGCCCCACGTTACACCTACACACACGCGCGCGCTTACCTGCCTCACTGGGGTCTTGTGGGCTGGGGGTCGCTAGGCGAGGTTCTCCGGGGTGGGCCAGGAGGTGGGGTCGCTGGAAGGGAGAGGCAGGCTGCGAAGCAGTAGGGGTTGCTGAGTACTGGCCCGGTGCCGGGGCGCCCCCTGGGGGCTGCTGCGGGTGTAATGGAGCAGGTCTATGGATGATCAGCCCGCAGTGGCGGGGATCGAAGTGACCCGGGTCCCGAATTGTAGGAATGGGCTGGCGGGCCAGCAAAAGTCCAGGCGGGCCAAGATTGGTACCTGAGTGTGCGCACACGAGGCCGAACCCGGCAGCCACCGCAGCGCCCAGCAAGAAGGCGGCCACTACTAGTGCCACCACTGGTGCGGGCTCCAGGGCCACTGGGGCAGACGCTGGAGGTTCTGGACGTACGGCTCTGCTGGGGATGTCCTTGGGTGGCCCTACGGAGAGTACAATGCTGAGACTGGGTCCATGCCCCAGCGGTCCTCCCACTCCAGTTTTCTGGCCCCAGGCTGCCCCTCCCAGGAAGACTGCACGCTCACTGAGGGGTGGCTGTGGGACCGTGACCACGATGGGCTGCGTAAGCGTGTGCATGTGGGGGCCATCAGCGTCCAGACTCTCGCCGCTGCCACTGCCACTGCCATTGCCCGCACATGCCTCATTCTGAGGCAGACACTGGAGAGGAGGGGGAAGGGAAGGGACGGGACGTGAGGGCCCAGAGAACTGGGGGCTGGTTGTCAGGGCTCCCAAAAGATCTAAGTTCACAGTACTCTTTGCAACCAGGAGCCCTACCACTAGACCCCCTGGAAATCCAGGCCCTTGGGAGTCCTTGAGTCTAGCCCATAAGATATACAAGCAATCAGCCACTCAGCTCCTGAAGACTCTAAATTTCAATCCCTTTAAGTTCACACAACCCAGCTCTCTGAGCATCTAACCTGTGAAACCTAACATTAGGTACCCAGAGATTTGGCCCCTTGCTGGCTTTCTTCATCCAACCATCCGACCCTGGAGGGACCTCAAAGCCCAGCGCAAGGGGATCTGAGTGCCCTGTCCATGAGGAAAATCAGTGCCCACTCCCTGTTCCCTGAGGAACCTTCATGTAGAGCCCCACGGGCTCCCCGACCACCCTGTGCCCAGCCCCTACCCCCAGCTCCAAGGCACCCTGACCCCAAGATCCCCCAACTCCAAGCGGCTCCTCATTCAAATGCTAGAAACGCTCTTGTCCAGCCCCCTTGACCAGCCCCAGGAGCCCAGACTCCCTGCCGTGTGCCCGCGCACCGGCGACGGGGGTGACAGCGTCAGAGGCGCAGTAGTTTGGTGTGCTCCCCAGAGGCAGCGATGTCGGCTCAGCTGGCAATGTAAGAACTGTACAGAGGCATTGAAGACCAGACGCAGACGGAAGCTGAAGTGGGCGGCCCAGGGTTGCGGTGGCGGGAAGGTGACAGAAGAATCGGCAGGGCAGCCGCCACGTAGCAGCGCCAGGGCGGGCCCCGGGGCCGGACGCGAGGACGGTGTCACCCAGCAGCTGTGCAGGGCCAGGCCCCAGCCCCGGGAGGGATGGGCCAGGGCTGCCTGGATGGTGTTGGGAGGTGTTAGGGGGTAAGGTGCTGCCGTCAGGATCGGCTGCCCCCACCGGCATGCCCCCCGACCCTGGCGCACCCCAGTCCACACCTGCACAAACACGCGGCTGTCCGCCGGGACCTCGAGTGGCCCCGCGCGGCGCTGGAAGGTATCCTCCACATCTGACAGCTCTAGTCTGAAAAGGGGTCGGCGCAGCCACGGCCCCGGCACAGCTCGGAACGGGGATACTGGCGAGTAAGAGAGAGTTGCAGAGGAGGGAGGACGCGCTGCGCCTTAGTCCCTCGGGTAAATGCTCCAACTTCCTAACCTGCTTTGGAAAATGGATACAGTGGAAGATTTACTCTTAACGCTCAGCTCCTCGCCTTGCTCAGCACCAGTTGGGACAGCATGATGTCCTCCCTGGAGATTCCTGGTATTCACAGCCCAGCAGCTGAGGTCAGGCACAAAGCTGCAGGACCCTGGGGAGGAGCTCCCCTTTCTGGACCCTGATTTCCTCCCCCACAGTGAGCGAGGAAATTCCAGACTGGGGAGGAGGCGAGGGCCTATGAACTGCAGCAGGGTCAGCCTGGAGATGGGAGTGTTGGCTCCATCCTTCCCTTTCTAAGGGCACATAGGCGTTGTCATCAACGTGAAGGGTGGCGGGAGGAAAGGGTAGGACAGGTGCTTTCCCACAGCCCTTCTGACACAGCCCAAGCTCGGCCAGGCCACCAAGTTCTGGGGCTTTTGCCTCACTCTCAAGCTCAAGGTGGCGGCAGCGGCGGCGGCAGGGAGCTTGGACAGGAGTCTCCTAATCCCAGATGGCAGGTGCAAGCGGCACACATAAGGTCGTCTGCCTTCAGCTGGGTCCTTGTCTCTGACATGCAGGACCACCCCTTGTCCCACACACATTCCCTAAAAGCATTTGCACAACCCTCTCCTCCCCCACCCTCAGTCTTTGCCCTCACTGTGACTTCTGAGGACTTTGAAGAAGCTGGGGATCCTAAAGAACCTGGAAATGGGAGACAGGGATAGACCCCACCACTCACCCACCCCTTCCCACAGGCAAAGAACAAGGGAGGCTGAGGAAGGGTGGCACAGGAATCAGTGCACGAAGGCACACGTCTCCCAGCCCCACATACCAGGAGCGTGCCTACTGGGCGAAGCAGAGACCCTGTGGAGCAGGACCAGCAGCAGGAGCGTGGGGCACAGCATGCTGGACTGGCTCTGTTGTGTGTGTGTGTGTGTGTGTGGGGAGGGGCAGCCGGAAGCTGAAGCACCAGCCCCAGCAACACCCAGGCCCAGCAGGTGGCCCTGTCCTTGGCTGGGCAACCACTCCCCAAGGCAAAGAGTGGGGGTGGCAGGCTGAGGTGCTGACACCAGAGCCCTTACCCAAGGCCTGCCAGGTATTAAGAGCTCCTCTCCAGCAGGACATGTGGCTACTGGAGGTCAGGTGTCCCTCTCTACAGTGCCTGCTTGGTATCAGGCAATTCACTACCAAGCCCACCTTACCAAGCCGCAAATGTGCCTGTTTTCCTTTTGATGTCGAGACTTCATCCACCAGCATGGCACCACTCCCCAGCCCCCGCATCCCAACCCCAAAGTCAGGGTTTACAGACCCTTTCCACGCCATACTCTGCAGAGGCTCAGGTCACACCACAGACCCAGTGGAAGAAAAGGGAGGGGTTTTATTCTCAAGCGTCTAAGGATTTACAAACAAGGGTGTTTCATTTTAAAAAGGGAAGGGGCAATACTGGCAGCCTGAGAAGGGATCGTGGGCTGGGCCAGGCTGCCCCAGTCTCCTGCCTGCCTGCTCAAACCTCTGCCTGGTCCAGAAGGATGGCTGGTGACTGGAGACAGAGGGAGGAGAGGCTCCCCCAGGGCTCCCACTTAACACTGAAGGGGAGGGGAAGGCAGAAACACACTCACGAAACAAAAGTTAAATAAAGATACATCTGGGCAGCTGGCCTCTGGCCATTGCTGGCCCTGGAACCAACCACTTAACCTTGTGGTTACAGGCTAAAGCCCCCATGGCTGGGACCCCATAGGGTGGAACCTGGCCTGTTGGCCCCCCAACCTGCCCCAACCCCTCACAAAGGGGACTTGGGCAAGAGAAGGGCCACCCCCCACCCTGGGGGGCAGACAGAAGACGCAGAGTACTTTTAAACATGCAGCCTTTTGTGACTACGTTGGGAGGGTAACAGGAGTCGATAGGGTGGAGAGAGGTTACAGCAATGCCTAGGCTGAGTTTCGATTGCTCCAGCTACGTCCAGGGAGGCTCCTCACCTTGGGTGCTGGTTGGTTTTTGTGTGCGTGTGCGTGTTTTGTCCACTGATTTGCATGCATCACCAACAAAAGAAGGAAAACACCCCCCTCCTGTTCTGGCCGCTGCAGAGGGGCTGGGGGGAGGGGACCCGTGGCCCAGCTTCAAGGTGGCCAGCTCTGAGGGAGTGGAGGGGCACTGTGTGAGCGGTGACTGCCTTCACATGCCCAGCCCTCAGTTTGCCCCACCTCTGTCCCTATCACACATCCTCGAACCCCCACATCCATTCCCTGTACCCTCCATCCCCACCTCCCATCCTCCACTCCCCATTCCCTGCCACACCTGCATTTCCTGCTGCCCACCACACTCCATACCCACCTTCCCTGAAGGCCACCCTGCGTGGCCATGGCCCCATGGGCTCCCTCTGAACTACCTGAGGTCCTCAACTCATCCCAAGCTGTGGCCAATCTCCAGCCCCAAGGGAAGAGCCCCCGTCCCCAGGACCCACTTTTGGGACTAGTTTCTCCAGGTCAGGCTGACAAGGCACAATGGCCCAGACCCCCTGCCTGACTCCTGGCCCCAGCCCTCCAGTGCCCAGGGTAGGTTGTGGGCTATACCACAAGCAGCTAAACATGACTTTGGTAAAAGTTTCTGAAGGTACCAATAAGCCCCATGAGAACAAGCTCTTCTTCCTCCCTCCGTCCCCCAAACACCCCACCAAGTACAATAATATACAATAAACTCCAAAAAGGACCCCCTGAGATCAAAGAGAGAGACAGACAGACAGACTGACAGAGAGAGAGCATGAGCACGCACGCAAGGGCACGCAGCCTGGGTAAGCTGCAGTCACAACGCCCAGACTGCCTTCCTGGGATGAGGATGCCAGCCGAAAGACTCATCGCTCACCAAAGACCTAAGAGGACCAAGGGGTCCCATTGCGGGTGGCAGAGCCTGGGCGTGAGCCAGGAGAGAAGCAGAGGCAGAAGCAGGAAAGGAGACAGAAGAAACCAGAGAGGCAGCAAGGGAGGTGAGAGAAGGAGGTGGAGACAGAGCATGTGTACCATGGAAAGCGGAAAGGGCAGCATGGGGTGAGCGTGGGAGGATGCAGGACAGGTGACTCTCTCCTGGCCTGTGGTGGCCACCCCAGCCCAGAGGTTACGACTGAATAAATAGCGAGTCTGCTCGCGACCTGCTGTCTTCCGTTCACAGTGTCTGTAGGGGGACTCGTACAGTCGGCTGACCCCAGGACTGGAGGGGCTAGGGCCTGGTGGGCCCATCTGTCCATGGCTGCTGGGTAGGGAGTCAGGGTTGGGTTGGCATCCCATACTTTGTCCTCAGCCCTTGTCGGCCATCCAGTTCCCAGGTCTCCCGTGGTGGGCAGCTGGGTGGCCAGGTAGGGAAGAGGGGGCCTGAGGCCACTTCCCTGGCCCCCACAGTGGGGCTGGCCACCACCATGCAGCTACCTGAAGAAGGGCAGGTGGTGTTGGTTTAGGACTCCACTAGTCCTCGGTGACTCGGTCTTCGCCATGACATCCTTGAACCAGGATGCCACATCCACGTCCAGCGTCTCATAGTGCTTGATGAAGCTGTGTTCCTGCAGTGCCCAAGAGAGGGGCTTAGGACAAGGGCAGCTTCCCTGCTAGCCCTACCCAGGCCCTGGGTGTCCGGAGGAGTGAGTGGTGGGGAGTGAGGCTGGGACAGAGTAGGGAGGGGCTTCAGATACTCACAAGTAGCTTATTGTACTTTGGTCTCTTCCTATGATCTTTAGTAAGGCTGGAAACAGAGAGGAGAGGGAGGTGAGGACCTGGAGATAGGCCCAGCCATGCCACCTGCTGAGCCAGGGGTCTGCAAAAATTGTGGGAAGGAGCTTCTGTGTCCTCCCAGCCCTGTGCCATGAGCTGGAACACCTAAGGACCCAGGGCCTGCACTGACCTGGGCGGGGGCCTGAACCGTGTCATGAGGTGCCAGTAGGAGTTCCCTGGAGAGAGAATCCAACATGGACATTCTGCCTGAGCAATTCTGCTTGATGGTGCAGAATGCTTCGAGCCCTCTGACCTTTGCTTGTTTTCAACCTCCCGAAGTAAAGCTCATGGTCATCTAGCCAAATGCTCTGGAGCCAGCTGTCCCCTCAGGCCCAGTCTGAACCCTGGTCATAGCGCCTAGGGCTCCAGTTTCTGCCTACAGCCCCTGCCCTGAGGTACTTCTGGCCCACAGTTGCCCCCCATGAAGGAGGGCTTGCCATTCCCCTCGGGCTCCACAGCTTCCCCGATGCCCTAACCTCGGGCCACACCTGACTTGCCCACTTCCCCCAGCACAGCGCTGGGGTAGAAGCTCCTCACCAGTCTTTGACGAAGGACTGAAAGTCCCCCGAGAAACCCATGTGGCCAGGCAGGAGTGGGGGCTCTTCCTGCAGGACCTTGGTGAGGACCTCAAAGTCCGTCTTACAGTTCTTGTAGGGAAACTGTCCTGTCGCCAGCTCCACCTGGGGAGAGATGGATGGCTGGGTTGGCCAAGGACAGGCTCCTGCCCTCCCTGCTATCCTCCTGTACCCCAAGAATGGGTCAGCCCAGCTCTCAGAAGGAGGGACCCCAACTCACCAGGGAGATGCCCAGGCTCCACACGTCAGCCCGGATGTCATAGTCTGGCTTGGTGGGGTCCGGGGGGTCAATGCGCTCAGGCTACAGGGAAGAGGCAGGGGAGAATAAACAGGGAAAGGGGAGAAGGGAGCCCTGTGGCAGGGGCAGGTGTACTGCCCAGGTCCCCAGGCTACCCGCCCGCTGGGCCTCCACTTACTGCCATGTAGGCAGCACAGCCAGCGCTCCGAGTTTTGGCCTTGGAGTCGACAAGGCGGCCACTGATGCCAAAGTCGCAGAGCTTGATTTGGCCCCGCTCATCCAACAGGATGTTGGAGGGCTTGACGTCCCGGTGGATCACCCCGTGCTTCTCTTTCAGGTAATACAGCGCCTTCACAATCTTTGAAGAAAGGGGAGGGTGCTGTGACTGGGTCAGGAAGGGGGTTGATGGGGTCTGGGCAGCCAGTCTCAGCCCCTGCCCCTGCCTGGCCACTCACCGCTACTGTCATCTTGCCCAGGATCCGCTCAGGGATGGGGCCCTGCATCCGCTTCTTCAGCTTCTCGGCACAGGTGCCCATAAGCTCCATGGCAATGAAGACATCCGTCTGCAGGGGCAGAGGCATGGCTTTGGGGCAGCCATACCCTCTTGCCCACCCCAATCACAGGAAGAGGATGGCGGCTCAGGGAAAGGCTCAGAGTAGCAAGGGAGACTCAAGGAAGTGGGCAGACAAGGTGGGGCATGGCAGTCGGGCTCACGTTAGTGATGAAGGTCCCAAAGCACTGCACGATGTAGGGGCAGTCATGGCTCTTGAGTACCACGTCTAGGTCCATGAGGATCCGCTTGTTCTCTTCCTTGTTCCCTGAACGTCGCATTTGCTGCACAGGATGGTGTGGGGAGGAAAGGAGATCCTAAGCACCAGACATGAGGGTCATGGGGTTTACTTGGGTCGGATGGGGGCTCACCTTGACGGCAATGATGTGGCCTGTCTTTCTGAAGCGCATCTTCCATACCTGGCCGCAGGTGCCACTGCCCATCTCCCCCAAGTTCTCCAGGTCATTGATTTCCGCCTGGTAGCGCTGGTGAGGAGAGTTGTGGCTGGGGGTCTGCCTGGCCTCTGTCCCACCACACAGACCCAACCTTGCTGAGACCTGCCCACCCCCTGGGGGCTGGGGGAAGGGTGGTACCTGGCCCCCGATAGTCAGGTAGCCTGTCTGCTTCATGATCTCCTGCAGCTTCTGATCAATCTCAATACTGAAGGAACAGGGAGCATGTGTGGGTGGAGGGGTGTCCTGACCAACCTGAGGCCACCCCAGCTCCCAACAGGCAGGGATTCCCACAAATTCCACCACCCCCTCCCTGGAGCCAGCCCACAGGCCCTCCCCGACACTGACCTCCCACAGGTCAGCTGGCCCTGCTCCAAAGGCTCACCTCTCCACGCTTCGGGGTGTGAACAAGGTGGATGGGAGTCCCAGCATGTGGCGGGGCCGGGCGGGGGGTGTAGGTTGCTGTGGGGAGCTCTCGGAGGATGGTGAGCGGCTGCCGCCATCATTGGCCAGTGGGAGCTGCAGGGCTGGGGGGGGGGGGGGGGTGGTGAGAGCCAGGGGCGTGGAGGGGGTTAGTGTCCAGTTGGCCCCACCTCCAGTGCTTGCACTCTTAGGGGCTAGGGACCTTTACCTTCCCCTCCCAGGCATCTTCGCATTAGCTAGCACAGCCTCCTGCCCTGCTGGGTGGGAGGAGCTGGAGTCTGCACCCTTGACACCACTCTCAGAGTACCTCTTCCATGCCCCTACTCTGGAAGGAGATGGAGTGGGCTGGCTGGGAATGGTGGTTCTCAGAGGCTGAGAGTTTATGCCCAAATCTACACTGATGGTGTCATGAGGCCTGGAGGCTGATGGTGTCCCTCAGGCAGGCACCCTCCCTGGCATGCCCCTTTCCTCCTCACCTCTGCCACAGTGCCCATGCTTGGGACCATGTGAGGAAGGACTGCCTGCCAGGATCAGCCTGAGATTTGGTCTTGTGGGCTGAAATGAACTTGGCTGCCCAACCAGAATGAGGTAGACTGCCTTAGGGAGACAATGGGCAAGGGACCCACACTTCCCATGTCCTATGTTCTGTTCCAGAGTCAGGGAGGACCACCCTCTGGGCAGCAGGTTCGTCTTTGAGCTTCCCAACCTGGCCTGCAGAGCTGGGGCTGACAGGGACGGGGCAGAGGCAGGACACCAGACTGGGCCTGTGTGCTGATGATGGAGGGTTCCGGCTGGTGCCACCCCTACAGGACTGGCAGGATTTGGAAGGGGTGCTTGGCCAGGCAGGGGTTTGGTTCTTTCCAGCAGCCTGCATGCGGATGGCTTGAGCATGCTGCAGGCAGGCAGGCGGGCAGGCAGCGGGCAGGCAGGGGACACCCCAGGACAGGCAGGGAGTGTTAGGGGATGGGATGGCAGGAGACAGACAGACAGGAGCCAAGACTGGGACCCAGCTGCCCAAGACTAGGGTGCTGCAGAGACAGGCAAGAGAGGCCCAGACAAGAGAGCATGTTTGCTGAAGGGCTGGGAGCCTCCCTTGGCTGGGCTGGCAACAGGATGGAGGAGCAAGGGCCACTGTGGCTCCGAAAGGAGACCGACAATCCTCCATTGAACCCTCATCCCCCCAGGACCGGCACTCTGGAAGGGGGTCCTTGGCTGGGGAGGGCACTGGCTACAAGTGCCCTCCCAGGTACACCTTCCCATGGACAGCAGGCCTAGGGCCTGCTCCCAGCTGATGCCCTTCCTCTCTCCACACCTCCTGCCACAGCCCATGTAGTCCTCCTGCAGTTCTGCGAGCACCTGGTAATACGGGCCTGAATTGCTGGCAGGTGGGCACTTTCCTTGACCTGTTGGCCCAGGTCCCTGATTCCAGCCAGAGTACGGGGGCAGGTATATGACCTTGGTCTGAAGGTTCTAGAAAGGGTACAGGTACTGAAAGGGCCTGGCAGCAATAGAGAAAGAGCTCGGGGGACCACAGGGACACAGTCAAACCCAGCACCCTTGACTTCCATGCCCTGCCCCACCCCGGCTGTGTAATGAATGTCCTTGTATCTTGGCTCTGCCATGGCCTAAACCATAGTGCTAAGCCCCCCTGCCCCCCACTGAACAGGCTCACCTTGTACTCGTACACCTGGACCTTCTTGAGACACTTCTAGGTTCTCATCCCAGGAGGTATCTGGACCCCTTTTCTGCCCTGCACTGTCAGCTCTCTGGGGAGAGCACCACATTCCTACTCTCTAAACACTTTGGTTCCCCATGTGTCCTTTCCCTCGCATAGGCCACTGGACCTTTGCGAGCTGCCCCAGAGCCTCAGAAAGGGCTGCAGGCAGACAGAGGCTACCACCAGCCCTGCAAACTGAAGCACAGGGGGATGTGAAGTGGCTGGAAGGGAGGGGGGTGGGGAGAGGGGAAATACATAATGTCCCAGTGTGGGCACTGAGCACTGAGCTGGTGATGGGCCACGCAGCAGGTCAGGAGAACAGAGAGCATGAAAATGAATGAGACAAAGATGAATGAATAAGAGAAAAGGTGGGGACGTGAGGACATGCGGCTATCTGGAGCCACAGGTGTACCAGGTTGTCAGCCAGCATACGTGCCCACACACACAGGTCATGGCAAACCCCCCACATGCAGACAAGCAGACAGTACAACATGGGGCCCCTACCAGCATCTTCCACATACACACGAAGTTGTACACATACAACTTTCCAACCTAGTCCCACTTACCCACAAGGACCAATGGTACCAGACCTCCAGCCCAGTCAATCTCACAAAGACCCAAGCATGAGCCACCCTACACACATCCATTCCCAGTTCCACTGGCACCTGGACTCAGGCCTTGGCAGGGCCATTCCTCCAACTCTATTTGCACACCCCTCACCCTCGATGAGACTTTGCTCTAACCCTCCCATCTCCAAAGGCTTGCCCCGACCTCCCTACCACAGCACCTTCACCCCTGCTCCACTCTGCCCTTAAGGATCATAGCCTCCTCTGCTCTCCTTGACCAGGAATCCGCTCATTGTTCCCACCCCCAGCTCACCCCTAGTGCAGCATCGGCTGCACAAGTAGAGGAATCTGGTCCATTTTATTCACAGCTGTGTCCCTGGAGCCTGGGGCAGGCACAGCACATAGGGGCCAAACATGTCCCCTGAATTGCTGAAATGGATCCATAAGCACAACTGATGCACAGGTCCCATTTTCTCTCCTTCTCACTACACACACATACACACACGGGCTTCTCTCACAGGTGACACACTACCAGTCAGTGAGGGAGCCCAGTTCCTCCTCCAGGGAATCCAAACCTGCATCCAACAGGATGGGAGAAAGGGGAGGTGAGAGGACACAGAGGAAGAGACAAAGTAGGCCTGATGTGGCTCCCGTGGAGGGAGAGTGAGAGTTCAAGGAAATGTGTATGTGTGTGTGCGCGTGCACACACACGTATATACACACAAACACACACAGCATGGAGGAACAGGGAGATGGGATTCTGCGGCCAGGGCAGCGGTTAGGTCAATGGTGCAGATGTCCAAGCAGCGATGATAAAAAGGCTGGTACCTGCTCGTTGGGACGGGGCAGGAGCAGGGCTTAGAGTGATCACAATAACTGGATGGGGAGAAGGAAGAAAAAAAACAACACCACGATAAATCACAACAGAAACAATCAATTTGTCCAAAAGAAAAGAAATCAAATCATAATGAGGAGAAGGGGGAGGCGCAAGGCACCAAACTGCAGAGATGGGTAGAAACCAACAGATGGGAGGACTGGAAGGATGGATGGAGCTGACACAGACACAGATGCCTAAAGTGGGGCTCTTCAAGGGCCTGCCTGCCTTGGGCCTTGCCGTGCCTCACTCTGCACCTGGGACAGCCACCCCCATAAGGCACCCCAGGCCCCATAACCAGCCCTGTCTTGCTCATTTGGGGCTGGGGTTGGGGGATGGAAGGGCAGCACTACAGATCCAGCAGGGGCCCTCTGGTCCTGGCTGGGCTTCCTGCCCCAGGTTGTGTCCAACATTAGCATAGCTACTTTGTCACTTTCTCTGGGCTTCCCAAGAGACCCCCCCTCAGGGAGGAATATGAGCTGACCCAGAGAGGGAGGGAAGGTGAGTGGACCCTACACACAGACAAGTGGGTGTCAGCCTATGAAAGTCAGGCTGGGGGAGTAGGGGGTAGTCTGAGTACCCAGATATAGGGCATCTTCCCTGTCCTGTCGGGCTGACCCCATTGGAACTACATAACCTTCAAGGGTCAATCAGAGAGGATACTGAGGAGGACAAGAAAGATGCAGAAAGCATGTGGGGTGCTGTTCATCAGGCCTGCAGGGAAGGGAGAAACTTGATGCCCTCCAGCTGAGAGGATCTGAAAAGAGAGTTCTGTGGGACATAACAAGGAGACTAAATGTGATCATGGTGATCCCAAAGCAGGTGGGGGTGTTGGGGGAACCCTTGATTTCAGATGCCAGGAAAGTAGGCACTGAGATGGTGGAATCAGAGGATAGGTGTATGAGTGCTGGGATGCTAGATATCACCATACTGGCTTCAGGTGTCCCCAGGCCAGCTTGGTGAGTGTGTGGGAAAGAGAAAGTCACTTGAGTCCAGATGATAAAAACTCCAGGCTGGGGGTTGGGTGTGTATTTTTCAGAGGCTGGACACAGTCACCAAGATGCTGGTAGTGAAACTGGCCAGAAGAGTATAAAGAGGTCTGGGTTTGTGAACACAGTGGGGGTCTGCTGAGCCTAATAACAGTCTGTCTGTGGAGTAGGGATCCCCAATTACAAGGAGGGAGTGAGAGAATCATTTGGTCAGAGGAATAAGGAGGTGTTATATGTGATCGAGTAACTTCAAGGGTCCCCAGGTCAGATGTTGAGTGCATGAATGGATCATCCCTTGAGTCCGGGTGACAAAGACCCAGCAGTGGAGAGGGGTAGGGACCTCTTGACAATCACTGAGATGGTAGGAGTGGAACCACCTGATCAAAAGGGTTGTGTGCGTGTTTCCAGAGGACCTGGATGTAGTCAGGATAGCGTGGAGTAGGGAGAGCTCGGCTCACCGTAGGGTGACAGAGGCTCCGCAGAGCACGGGGATGGGGGAGGCTCACCAGGTGGGGGTGGTCCTCACCTGGAGCCGGGTAACTAGCCTTCCGGGACCCATAAGGGGGAATCCCCCAGACCGGGAAAAGGCCGCCAGAAAGCCCGCCAGCCCCAAGGCCCCGGGGTCACCGTGACCCTCTCCACGTCGACCGACAGCTGAGGGGGGGCGGTGAGAAGCAAAAGCGCCCCGGAAGCGGGGGCGGGGCTTACAGCGGGGGCGGGGCCTCCCGCAGAGCCCGCCCCGCCCGCCCCCTCCCCCACGCCGCCGTGCTTACTGGGCCTGGGCCGCTGGGGACTGATATCTAGGTTGAGGTCGATCCTCCGACGGGCCTCGCGGTTCTCCTGCTTCAGCTTTGCTTCCAGGCGGGACAGCTTCTGCTCCAGGGAGGACGCCGCCATCTTCCCCGCCGCCGCCGCCGCCGCCGCCGCCGCCGCGCACCTCCCCGCCGCCCGTCAGCCCGGCAGACAAACACCGCACTGCGCCTGCGTCTGAATGACCCCGCCGAGCCGCCGTCTCGTCCCGCCTGGCGCATGCCCGGGTACGCACCCGCTAGTCTCTGAGCGAACCTCTGCGCGTGCGTGTCTCGTTCCAGCCCGAGGGATGACGCCACCTAGAGCTCGCGCCTGGCAACAAGCGAACTACCCGCGAGGTGCACATGCGCAAATTCCCAATTGCGACGGTGAGCCGCTCCTTGTGAAAACCTCATTCCAGATTCTGCAGAGAGCGACGGGCTGGGAAAGTGACAAGCTAGCGTTCTGAAGGGGAAGACGAGGTCTCCCGTTGGGAGTCCTCTGCGCGTGCGCTAGCTGTTTCCCCCGGCACTGTCTCGAGCGGCTGCCTCGGTTGTGTCTTCAGTCTCCTCTTCACTGTTCTTGGCTGGGCCCTTTCTGGCCCCTACTCCCTCTCAGGACTCCTTTCTCACTTTGAACATGCTTCATTAGGATCTCTGGTTTGCTTAATTGCTCCCTCCTCATCCTAATTAGGCACCTATAGGGAGCTCCTTCCATTTCAGCAAGCTCAGGGTTGGCCAAGGACAGGGTGGAGAGACAGGGTAGGTCTTGGGCCACTGTCGGGGCAACGGAATCCTGCAGCGTGACCCCTGATCTCGGCCACGGGGCCAAAGTCAAGGCTAGAGTTTGAGGTCACATTGGCCTGGGACATTTTAAGACTTTTCTTCCCTAAGACGTCCCGCCCTCAGAATGTGAGCCCAGCTCCTGAACAATGCAGAAGACTGGCCCTGGAGTTAGGTGCTTCAGCCTAGTGTCCCTGCAGCCTAAATATTCCTTTAACAGGTCTTAAAGGTGCTGGGGAAATGTCCCCATCTGAAATCCTGAGTTCCCGAAGAGCAGCGTGCCTCTGTTCTTAGGTGCCAAGAAGAGAATTGCTTTTTGCAGACACCTGGGAGGTGGCCAAACCCAGGAGGTCAGGGTCTGGCCGGCTGTGCCTAGCGTTCTACAGGCTCCTGGTCCAGCCTAGGGGACCCCGCTGGTGATTACTTACAGGTGAGACAGATAAAAAAAAGTATGGAGTCAGGAGGATAACAGGGAAAGTATTAGAAAGGGGTTTCTCCAGGAAAAGAGCTAGATAAGAGATACCACCTAATTTCTCCTGATTGTCTGAGGTCTCCAGGACAGAGACATATACCCTTGATTGTGGTACCTGTGGCCACTTGCCTATAATTGGTCTGGTGAAATGGCTTAGGCAAGGACAGGAGTGGACACAGGAGATCAGAGTGATAGTTCTGATAATTAGTATTGTTTATTTTTTAACAAATGTATCGTCCACAGCAAGTGTTCTTAACCTGGGGTCCACAACCCTTAGGATATCCATGAATAGCCCTTAGGGATTGGGGGGGATTTGGCCTGAAATTGTTTTCAGAATAGTGCATGGATGTATACACAGGCATTTTCCTGAGGAAGGAGGTGCCCCCAGCTTTCATCAGATTCTCAAGGGTTTAGGCATCTAAAAAGGGTTCAGAATCCCTGCTCTAGATATCCAGATATCTACTCTGTAGGTCATTCCAACATACAGGCCTAGGACCATGTGCATCAGAATTACCTGGATTGCTTATTTACAGGCAAGTTCTTGGCCTCCAGCCAAAGCTCCTGAGTCAGTTTTTCAGGGGTGGGGCCTGGGATGTTTTCTGGGAATGTTGATTTTGATGCATAGCCAAATAAGAGAACCTTGTTTCTGAATTCACATGTCTGTACATAAGGGCTTAACATCAAAGTGGGGGCAGTGCGTGCTGGTCCTTCCTGTCTGTGTCCCCTTCTTGGGAGAGAACCGCTGAGGTAAGCTGTTTGGTGGGGGAAAGGATTGAAATCCTACTGGGCTGTGTCCCACCCCTTTTTGTGGCACTGATTGAGCTAGAATGTCCAGGGGGAGGGCAGCAGTTCTAGCCCAGGGCTGGGGCAGGCAAGCCAGACAAAGACAGAGGTGTGGTTTTGGTTTCAGAATCTTATGACTGAGTTAATCCTTCCATGACGTTCCACCCCAAATCCACAACCTACCATCTCACTAGATAAACCAGTCCCAGGATCTTACCTGGGCCCCACAGGCTGGCTTGTCAGCTCCTCCTCCCTGGCCCAGGCCCACCTGCCTTGAAGACAGTGATAGAGATTTTAGAACTGAAACATCCAGAAAGCCTCTGCCTCAACCTACCCCTCCCTGGCTTCACTCCTCCTCCATCTTTTCCCGAACTTCTGTTGGCAGGCCCTCATAAAGGGTGTCCTCCACCAGAAGCCCCTCCTTCTTGAGCCCTCTACAGTTGCCCAGTTCTTCTGGCAGTGCCTCCAACCTGTTGCCCTTGAGCTCCAGGCGGCTGAGGGCCCTGAGGTTCCCCACCTGGGGTGACAGCTGACTGAGGTGATTATGGCCCAGGAGCAACGTCCGAAGCTTACAGCAGAAGAAGAGCTCATCAGGCAGGGCCTCTAGGGCATTGTAGGAGAGAGCCAGGTGCTGCAGGTTCTGGAGGAGACCCAGCTCAGGTGGCAGGGAGTGCAGCCCATTGTGGGTGACATCCAGCAGGCGGAGGCCAGAGCACATGCCCAACTGAGGTGGCAGGGCCTCTAGCTTGTTGTGGCTGAGGTAGAGCTGCTCAAGGACCCTCAGCTTACGCACATGTTCAGGGACATATGCGATCTGGTTGTGCCATAGCCTGAGTGTGACCAGCTTGCGACAGTGCTGGAAGCTGAGGATTTCCTCAATGGACCGCAGGTGGTTGTCCTTGAGGTCAAGTTCCTGCAGTGCACCCAGGCTGAAGATGGCATGGGGAATGCGCTCCAGCCCACAGGCCACCAGCTCCAATTCCCGCAGCACCACTAGCTTCTTGAGGCTGTTAAGGGCCAACAGGCGGGACCCATCGTTGTGCAGACTAAGCCGCTGCAGGTGGCTGGCTACATCCGTCACGCTGGCTGGGACCTTACCAGCATTGCTCCGAAGAGACAGCACCTTAAGCTGCTTCAGCTCCCGGAGGCTTTCAAGGGTGGCTGCCTGAGCCAGCTCTGGGGGAAAGAGCCCCTCAAGGTGCAGCTCCTCCAGGCTGCGTAGCCCAAACACCCAGAGGGGCACCTCACGGAGCTCCTCACACTTGATACGGATGACCTTCAGGCGGTCCCGCAGAAAGATCTGCAAGGAGAAGGGCAGCCTGGCAGGCGAGTGGAGCAGGCTGAGCTCCTGCAGGTGCACCAGCTGTGACAGGCTTGGGGGGAAGGTGATATCGCAGATGGCCTCCAGGCGAAGTGCCTCCACCTCTCGGAGCTCAAAGACGGTGTCAGGAAGTCCTGGGAGCATGCAGAGTGCCAACTCCAGCCGGCCCTTGGCGTTGTGCTGCAGCTTCTGCCGAAGTTTCTCAGGTGTCCATTCGTGGTTGAGGTTGAGCTGCTTCAGTCGGCTCTCACTGACCTCAGAGAGGAAGACGGCGAAGCGCTTGGAGTAGAGTGGGTCATATTGGTCGATGAGGTGCAGCATGAAGGCAAAGTCATTCTTTACATCGGGGATATCATTCATGCCAGTCTCCTCCCGCACAGAATGAAAGGAGTATTCCTTGAGGGGCCGGTGGAAGAGCCAATAGAGTGTATAGAGGCAGGTGATCCCATAGACACACACAAAGGAGATGTAGCAGAAAGCCAGCTTGGAGAAGAGGTGGGCCTTGGTGTGGTTGCAGCAGAAGCTGGCATAGCCTGTGAACCTTGAAGTCTCCACTGTGCAGGCTACTACGAAGCTTATTTTCTCCACGTAGACAAGGTTGTAGACCAGGATGGCAAAGAACTTGCAGACTTTGAGCACTGTCTGCCTGATGTACATGGTGTATAAAATGTCCCCTTCTTCCACATGTATGCGGAACTTCTTGACCTTCTCAAAGAGGGCTTTGGCCTGCTCGCCCTCCTTCTTGTCCAACAAGGTGACAGCCGGTGGCTCAGTCACCACTTTCTCAGGCTCCTTCAGCACCTTCTCTTTCTCACCCTCCCCTGCTTTTCCTGGCCCTGCCTCAGCTGCCACAGTCATTGTTGCTTGTCCAGTGGTATGGCCTTTGCGGTTCTCCCCTGAGACCTCAGACAGGGCCCTTGTAGTCCATGGTGAGTCGAAACACTTGCCCAGGATGGAGGTGAAGTGTTCAATCTTGGAGCTGGTGCCAGGGAACTTGAACCAGAAGCTGGTGCAGACCATGAAGATGAGCGTGTGAATGACAACCAGGTAGGGGAAGTACTTGGGGTACCAGTGGAGGGCTTTCTCATAGCAGAGCTGGTTAATGAAGCTGTACTGCTGCAGGTCCAGGTTGTTTTTGAGGCCACTCACTTCATGGAGACCCCCCATTTGTCTGGGGACCCCCTGCAGCAGCAGTTGCTGACATGAGGTCTCAGATAAGTTCTCCCAAGGTTCATGACTTGGTAGACAAATGATCTTGTCCTGTGTCACCTGGGGATAAGGAAGAGGGTGAAAGGGTGTGGGAACTGGGGAACTGGAAGATAAGTAGGCTGAGGTAGGAGGCCCTGATCCTTGACAGTCCCCAGCTGGCTGTGGCTTTGGTAGAGTAACTAAGCCTGAGCATTGGTCTTTGTCTGAAAAAAAAAATTAGGTTGACTTTGTCCCCCCAAAAGACGTTGAAGTCCTAACCCCCAATACCTGTGAATGTGGTGGCGTTTGGAAATAGTCTTTCCCGGGCAGAGGGATTCCAGGTAAGATGAGATCATTAGGACACACCCTAAACCAATATGACTGTGTCCTTTTAAAAAGGGGAAATCTGGACACACACACACACACACACACACACACACACACACACAGAGGGAAGATGCTATGCAGATATAGGGAGAACATCATCTATGAACCAAGGAATGCTTGAGGCCATTGGAATCTAGGAGAGGCACAGGATATATTCTTCCTGACAGCTCTGGGAAGGGCCCAACCCTGTGAATGCGTTGATTTCATAGTTCTAGGTTCCAGAACTATAAGGCAATAAATTTCTGTTTAGGCTACCCACTTGGTGACACTGTATGACCAAGCAAACTAATAAGGTAACTGCAGGTATTTCTAGGTCCTGGGGACATAAGGATTACACTATAAAAATATGGCTGCCATAGCTATGCGAAGGACTTTGGTGCTGCTGCCAGTGGTAGAGGGAATGGGAAGGCATCAGAATTGGTATGGAGTGTAGAGGCCTCTGGTTTCCCCCTCCTTGGGTAGGGAATTTTCCAGGTCCCTCTTCCATCCGTCCAGACCACGCCCAAAGCCCCGCCTTTATGTAGACTTCACTTCTCCTGCCCCTTACTCAGTCTGGCCCCTCCCCTTACCTGAAGGGTGCAGCCGAAGACCCCGATCATGAGCATAGCCACCGTGAGATATTCGGCCAGCACGTCCCACCAGGGTTTGAGCAACTTGAAGGCGGGCTGCTGCTCGGAGAAGTGCTTGAACTCAGCCACC